TAAAGACACTGGGACCCGTGTGCAAAGAAACAAGTAGAAGAATGTGTATTGTAGCACATTAGCTATTTTCATGGCTAAAGTTGCAAACTATCTAAATAGTCATCAACAGGAGGATGGGTGAATGCATTATGGTGCATGTTTACCTATTAATATGTGGCGTTTTTAAAAAGATCTATAAATACATGGTTACAAGAAAGATATTTTAAAATGTGGGTAGGCAAAAAGAAATTATAATATACGATTCACTTAGCTAACCAATATCCGTATTTGTATTTTGTGTGGGTAGTATTTATAAATACCTAGAACGAGGTCCGGAAGAATAACCACCAAATGTCCACCAGCAGTTTACCTGTGGAAGAGGAGTGGCCTGCAGGCTCTGGGAAGTCGAAGCTGGATGTGTGCTCTGTATCTAAGGAGCCATCCCCTAGCTTTACTTTTTCCCCCCTTTAATAGCAAAACTTGCTTTAGTTCTTTTTTTTAGAGTAAATAATTTTTTGTTTGAATTCAAGGTGGTTAACATACAGTGTAGTATTGGTTTCAGGATTAGAACCCGATGATTCATCACTTACATACAACACCCAGTGCTCATCACAAGTGTTGTCCTTAATGCCCATCACCCGTTTAGCCAATCCTACACACCTCCCTTCCAGAACTCTCACTTTGTTCTCTATTGTTAAGAGTCTCTTATGGTTTGCCTTCCTCTCCACTTTTATCTTGTTTTTCCTTCCCTTTCCCTGTGTTCATCTGTTGTGTTTCTTAAATTCCACATGAGTGAAATCATATATTTGTCTTCTTCTGACTGACTTATTTCACTTAGCATAATACACTCTAGCTCCATCCACATTGTTGGCAGATGGCAAGATTTCATTCTTTTTGATTGCTGAGGAATATTCCATTGTATATATATACTACATCTTTTTTACCATTCATCAGTCAATGGACATTTGGGCTCTTTCCATAATTTGGCTATTGTTGATAGTGCTACTATAAACATTGGGTTGCTTGTGCCCCTTCGAATCAGCATTTTTGTATCCTTTGGATAAATACCTAGCAGTGCAATTGCTGAGTTGTAGAGTAGTTCTATTTTTAATTTTTTGAGGACCCTCCATACTGTTTTGCAGAGTGGCTGCACCAGTTTGTATTCCCACCAGCAGTGCAAAAGAGATACTCTTTCTCAGCATCCTCACCAACATCTGTTGTTTCCTGAGTTGTTAAGTTTAGCCATTGTGACAGGTGAGAGTTAGTATCTAATTGTGGTCTTGATTTGTATTTCTCTGATGATGAATGATGTTGAGCCTCTTTTCATGAGTATGTTAACGCTTCTGGGTCTTCTTTGGAAAAGTGCCTATACATGTCTTCTGCCCATTTCTTCACTGGGTTATTTGTTTTTGGGTGCTGAGTTTGATAAGTTCTTTATAGATTTTAGATACTAACCCTTTATCTGATATGTCATTTGCAAATATCTTCTCCCATTCTGTTGGTTACCTTTTGATTTTGTTGATTGTTTCCTTCACTGTGTAGAAGCTTTTTATCTTGATGAGGTCACTGTACTTCATTTTTTATTTCATTTCCCTTGCCTCTGGAGACATAGCTAGTAAGAAGTTGCCACGGCCGAGGTCAAAAAGGTTGCTGCCTGTGTTCTTCTCTAGAATTTAGATGCTTTCCTGTCTCATATTTAGGTCTTTCATCCATTTTGAATTTTTCTGTATCGTGTAAGAACGTGGTCTTAATTTCATTCTTCTGCATGTTGCTGTCCATTTTCCCCAGCACCATTTGATGAAGAGATGGTCTTTTTTCCATTGCATACTCTTTCCTGCATTGTCGAAGATTAGTTGGCCATTCATTTGTGGGTCAATGTTGGGGTTCTCTATTCTATTTCATTGATCTATGTGTCTGTTTTTGTACCAGTACCATACTGTCTTGATGATTACAGCTTTGTAATATAGCTTGAAGTACAGAATTGTGATTCCTCCAACTTTGATTTTCTTTTTCAAAATTGCTTTGGTTCTTCAGGTTCTTTTAGAAACAAAAATTTTAGAATTGTTTGTTCTAGCTCTGTGAAGAATGCTAGTATTATTTTGATAGGGTCTGCCTTGAATGTGTAGGTTGCTTTGGATAGCATCAGCATTTTAACAATATTTGATCTTCCAATCCATGAGCATGGAATGTTTTTCCATTCCTTTGTGTCACCTTCAGTTCTTTCATAAGCTTTCTATAATTTTCTGCATATGGATCTTTTGCCTCTTTGTTTAGGTTTATCCCTAGGTATCTTATGGGCTTTGGGGCACTTGTAAATGGAATCAATTCCTTAATTTCTCTTTCTGCTGCTTCCTTACTGGTATATAGAAATGCAGCTGGTTTCTGTACATTGATTTTATATCCTGCGACTTTGCTGAATTCATGGATCAGTTCCAGTAGTATTTTGGTGGAGTCTTTTGTATTTTCTATGCAGAGCATCATGTTATCTGTGAAGAGTGAAAGTTTGACTTCTTTGCCAATCTGTATGCCTTTTATTTCTTCTTGTTGTCTGATTGCTGAAGCTAGGATTTCCAGTACTGTGTTAAAAACCAGTGGTGAGAGTGGACGTCCCTGTCGTGTTCTTGATCTCAGGGGAAAAGCTCTCAGTTTTTCCTTATTGAGAATGATATTAGCTGTGGATCTTTGATATATGGCCTTTATGATGTTGAGGTATGTCCCTTCTATCCCTACTTTTTTTTTTAAGGGTTTTTATCAAGAAAGGATGCTGTAACTATCAATAATAGCCAAAGTATGGAAAGAGCCCAAATGTCCATTGATAGATGAATGGATAAAGAAGATGTGGTATATATATACAATGGAATATTACTTGGTGATCAAAAAGAATGAAATCTTGCCATTTGCAACTACGTGGATGGAACTAGAGGGTATTATGCTAAGTGAAATTAGTCAGAGAAAGACAAATATATGACTTCACTCCCATGAGGACTTTAAGATAAAAAACAGATGAACATAAGGGAAGGGAAGCAAAAATAATGTAAAAGCAGGGAGGGGGACAAATCATAAGAGACACTTAAATATGGAGAATAAACAGAGGGTTACTGGAGGGGTTGTGGAGGGGGATGGGCTAAACAGGTAAGGGGCAGTAAGGAATCTACTCCTGAAATCATTGCTGTACTAGATGCTAACTAACTTGGATGTAAATTTAAGAAAGGAAAGGAGAGGAGGGGAGGGGAGGAGAGGAGAGGGGAGGAGAGGAGAGAAAGGAAGGAGGGAAGGGAAGGGAGGGGANAGGAGAGGGGAGGAGAGGAGAGAAAGGAAGGAGGGAAGGGAAGGGAGGGGAGGGGAAGGGAGGGAGGAAAGGAAGGAAGGAAGGAAGGAAGGAAGGAAGGAAGGAAGGAAGGAAGGAAGGAAGGAAGGAAGGAAGGAAGCTGTATTTGTCATTGTGCTTTTTCTGCATCTATTGTGAGGATCATATGGTTCTTATCCTTTCTTTTATTAATGTGTATCATGTTGATTGATTTGTGAATATTGAACAAGCCCTGCAGCCCAGGAATGAATCCCACTTGATCATGGTGAATAATTCTTTTGATGTACTGTTGAATTCGATTTGCTAGTATGTTGTTGAGAATTTTTGGCATCCATGTTCATCAGGGCAGTTGGCCTGTAATTCTCCTTCATAGAGGGGGTCTTTGTCTGGTATTGGAACCAAGGTAATACTGGCTTCATAGAATGAGTTTGGAAGCTTTCCTTCTGTTTCTATTTTTTTGGAACAGTTTGAGAAGAATAGGTGTTAACTCTTCTTCAAATGTCTGGTAGAATTCCCCCAGGAAGCCTTCTGGCCCAGGGCTCTTGTTTGTTGGGAGGTTTTTGATAACTGATTCCATTTCCTTGCTGGTTAGGGGTCTATTTAAATTGTCTATTTCTTCCTGTTTCTGTTATGGTAATTTATGAGTTTCTATGGTAATTTATGAGTTTCTAGGAATTTGTCCATTTCTTCCAGATTGCCTGGTTTGTTGGCATATCATTTTTCATAGTATTCTATACAAATAATAATTGTTTGTATTTCTGTGGTGGTGGTTGTGACCTTTCCTCTTTCATTTGTAATTTTATGTATTTGGGTTCTTCTCTCTCTCTCTCTCTCCCCCTCTCCCTCTCCCTCTCTCTTCTCTCTTCTCTCTTCTCTCTCTCTGTCTCTCTCTCTCTCTCTGTCTCTCCCCAAGCTTTACTTTTAAAATGACATAATAAATTTGCTAAAGGGGAGGCCGGTCTAGGTATGTCCAGGTCTGTGTTATTTCTCTAATCCACCATCCATTGTTCCTTGACTTTCTGATGAAGGTGATGTGAAGGTGAGTGTCTGTGCGTGGCACACGACGGGACACGGCACTCTGCTCCTGGATGTAATTTGAGGAGCGTCCACATGCCTCTCTTCGTTATTGCTCATGTTCAGGTCATTTCATTCTGCTGGGGCTGGCTCTGATGCCAAATTCCAGGAAGGCTCAGCTGTAGCCAAGAGAGCTAAAAGGCTCTCTAGGTCACCTCTGTGGACCAGCTGCATGGAAATTAATTAGAGACAGACCATGTCCCCTGTGGCTCAGGTCTCAGTGATGCTGAAGTCATTAGCAGTTGTGTTCCGCTACAGCTTCCATCTCTGACTCTGAAAATTTGTTTCGGCAGGAAGAGGCGGGCAGACTGAGGTGGTGGCTAGTGACAGTACAACTTTAATTCCCAGGTAGTTTGTCAGAGTCACTGGGGTGCAGCGACCTCCAGAGACAGGGGCGTTTTTCATCAAATCAGAGACAGCGGTGTGCTTATTCCCCTGGCCACCACTTAATTCCCTTTGCTATAAACGAGTGTGTCATCCCCGAAGCACAGGGGGTGGTGACCATAGCAACAAATCACCCAAATATTACTTTATTCCATTTGTGTTTCATTAAGCCTCCCTTGCCACGAACGACTTGTGTTACTGTTTCCATTGTAACTAGCTCTTTTTCTTCCTTTTTCTCTTTTTAAACTCTATATAGGATCCAAGAAAGAAGTACAAAAAGATCAAGATGCTAATAAACCTGCTGTTTCGTCTCCTAAGAGAACAGTGGTTTCAGCCACCAAGCTTCATTCACCAGGTATTTAAGAAATGTGATTGGTGTTCATTCAGGGAGAAGGCTTGAACTTGTCATTTATTTTGTTCAAATGTCATTAATGGAGCAGTGCCAGCCCCCGAGATATGTGTCACGGTATCAGGACTTGATGTACATATTGCTGATGTGTTCTCACTCTAGATGAAATGAACCAGCTGTTGGCATCATTTTATGTTAAAAAACAAAATGTTATCGGGCTCTTAAGAGGTAAGATCTTCTCTGTGTAGGAGTATCTGCTATTCCAACAGCACGTAGGAATAATTTACAATCGAAAAACAGACTTTGAAGATCTAACCTCAAGAGATAATAATAGCTTCTAAAAAGAAGAAAAACAGAAAAACAATGGTAATACTTGCAATTTTGTCAATGAGGAAAACATTTACTTACCTTCAGATATGAAGAAACTAGGTAACATCACTTGAGAGTTGAAAATCATTTATCGTGGAATTTGATATTGTAGGCATTAACCCCTTTTAAAACAGAATGGAGTATAACCTCACATTCATTAAGCAAGAAAATTGTAGCAATAGTAGTTACTGTTTGAGAATACTTATACCAGGATATGAGGATATTCCTTAGCTCTTTAAATGTATTAATTTATTGAATGCCTGCAATGACTATGAAACACTTATTGAATAGTCAAAAGGTATTTATTAAACACATATCATATGCTGTGAAATCTAGCTTTAGACTGCGTACAAAGCACACACCTCAATGTAAGAGTACTAAAAGGTTAAAACATGAAAGGAAATATTTATACCAAGTAAATATTAAAGAATATTTAATTTGTTTAATTAATTTATCAAATTAATTTATCAAAGAGTATACACTTTGATAAAATATTCAAATATTTTATAATTTTTTATTGTTTTTTTCATCTTACTGAATTTTGAAGTTTTTTTTAAAAATATATTTTGAATATAGTTTTTTTTCAGTTACATGATTTACAGTCCCCCCCCCACCCAGTCTGTGGCTTGTTTTGTGTTCTCCTAGCAGTGCTTTAGAAGAGTACACTTTCTTAACTTTCCTGAAGTCCAGTTCATAATTTTTTTCTTTTATGGATTATGCTTTTGGTATTATCTAAAAAAAAATCGTTGCATCATCCTCAACCATGAAGATTTTTTCCTACATTTTCTTCTAAAAGATTTAGAGTTCTAGGCTTTATATTTAAGTCTGTGATCCATTTGAGTTTACTTTCATACACCGTGTGAGGGAGGTGAGCCTTGACATTTTTTGCAGGGTAACATGCAACAAATTTCTACTCTGATCTTTATGATTTCTTTTATTCTGTTTCTACAGGGTTTAACTAGCTGATATCATTAGTTTAAAATCTTTCTTCTTTTTCTAATGTGTGTGTTTAATAAAATAAATTTCCCTTTATTCATTGCTTAAGCTATAGTCCATAAATTTTGATATACTAGGTTTCATCTTCATTGGGTTCAAACTATTTTTAAATTTCCTTTTATGATTTCTTCTTTACTCATGATTATTTTGAAGTGTGTTTGCAGATATCTGGGACTTTCCAGAGATCTTTCTGATTTTATTTCTAATTTAATTCCATTGTGGTTGGAGAATATACTTTGGATGACTTGAATCCTCTTAAATTTATTGAGACGTTGTTTTATGATTCACAACAAGGTCCATCTTGGTAAATGATTCATACACACTAAAGAAAAACGTCTATTGCGCCCTATCTATGTGAAGCATTCTACGAATGTCATGGGTCAAGTTGGCTGATAGCATAGTTCAAGTATTCTATATCCTTACTGATTTTCTGTCTACATGTTCTCTTTGTAATTGAGAGAAGGTTGTTGAAATTTCTAAGTATAATTGTGGACTTGTCTCTTTCTCCTTTCGGTTCTATCATTATTTGCTTCTTGTATTCTGAAGCTCTGCTATTAGGTACATAAACCTTTAGGATCATTTATCATTTTGATGAATTGCCCACTTTATCATTAGGAAATGACCCTGTTTATCCCTGGTAATATTCTTTTCCCTGAAATCTACCTTATTCAATATTAATTGTACCACTCCAGGATTCCATTAGTTCCGCATGGTTATACCTCCTCGCACGTTCCTCCTTTTCATCTGCGTGTCTCTTTATTTTCAAGTGTGTTTCTTACAAGCAGCACATAATTGGCTCTTGCATTTTTCCCTAATCTGAAAGCTCTGCCTTTGATGTACATTTCATGTTATTGATTTGGTTGGGATTAAATCTACCATCTTCCTATTATTTTCTATCTCATGTGTTGTTTTTTGTTTTTTCCCCTATTTTACTGCCTTCTTTTGAATTAATTAAATATAATGATTCCATTTGTCCTCTTTATTGCCGTATTAGCTATCTGTCTCTTATTGGGTTATTTTAGTTGTTATTTAGTTATTTAGTTGTCGCTTTAGGGTTCATAGCTTCTATCTTTAACTTTTCACATTCTGCCTTGAAACGATACCAAATCACTTCACATACCATATAATACAGTGGATCCTTGAACAACATTGGTTGGAACTGTGCAGGTCCCCTTATGTGCGAACTTTCTTCAGTAAATACAGTACATACCGTAAATATATTTTCTCTTTCTTATGATTTCTTAATGACATTTTCTTTTCTCCAGCTTACTGTATTCCTGGTATAATATCGGATACATCTAGCATACAGTGTGTTGATCAATTGACTCTGATATCAGAAAGGGTTCCAGTCAACAGTAGGCGCTCAGTAGTTAAGTTTGGGGGTGGAGAGTCAAAAGTTATATGTGGATTTTCAACTGCACAGGGGGCTGTTACCCCTCACCCCTGCGCTGTTCAAGGCTCAACCGTGTAAGAATCTCTCAACTGTATTCTTCCATTTCTTTCCTGACATTTGTACTCCTGTTATCAAATACTTTCCTTCCACATGTGTCCTAAACCCCGCACTGCACTCTTCCCATTGACTATCAACGCTGTTTTCTTTCTAGGAGATGTAAATAAGAAAAAAGTCTTTCAGACTTTCCCTTTAGTTGTCATTTCTAGTGCTTTTTGTTCCTCTATGCAAACCCAGATTTCCAGCTGGTCCCATTGTTTTTCTACCTAAAGTATTTTCTCTGACTTTCTTGGTGGTGGAGTTTTCTGGTGGTAGAATCTTTCTGTTTCTGTGGACCTTCGTTTTTCTTGGATACTTTTACTTTGTTCAGAATTCAAGTTGGCATTTTCCCCCCTGAAGTATTTAAGGATGTTGTTCCATTGTCTTTTGGTTTGAATGGTTTCCAGTGAAGACAAACCCCTCTCCTTATCTTTGTTTCTCTGTACATAAGGCATCCTTCTTCTCTGGCTGTTTGAAAGCTGTTCTTTTTAGCACCCATTTTTAGCAAGGTGATTACACTTTGCCTTGGTATCCTTTTCTTCGTGGTTTTTGTACTTGAGGTTTGTTGTGATTCTTAGATCTGTGGGATACAGTTTTCATACAGTTTGAAAGTGTGTTGCCTATCATCTCCTCAGACATGTTCAGGCCTGACCCCTCCTCTTCTGGGACTCCAGCTGTATATACATTAGGCCACTTGAAGTTGACTCACAACTCCTGTCCAAACTGATAACCCTGTTTGCTTCCTTCACCCTTTTTTCTCTGCATGTTTCATTTTGGATAGTTTCTCTTATTGTATGTTTGCTAATTTTCCTTTCTTTCTTTCTTTCTTTCTTTCTTTCTTTCTTTCTTTCTTTCTTTCTTTCTTTCTTTCTTTCTTTCTTTCTTTCTTTCTCTCTCTCTCTCTCTCTCTCTCTCTCTCTCTCTCTCTCTTTTCTTTCTTTCTTTTTTAAATAGCACCCATTTGTTTGTTCTACTGGACACAATTCTGTAGGTTAGACATGCAGGTGTGGCTTCTGTGGGTTCTCTGTTCAAAATATCACAATCATGATGTCAGTGGGGCTGAGTTCTTGAGCGGAGGCTCTGGAGGAAAAAGCCACTTTCAAATGCATTCAGGCTGTTGGTAGAACCAGTTCACTGTAGTTGTAGGACTGAGGTGCCTGTTGACAGTCAGCCACCACTTTCAGCTCGGAGGGCCCCTGACAACCACTGGTCTACCTTCTGTTTTATGGGATTTGCTTAGTGTGGATATTTCATATAAATGGAATCGCACAGCATGTGACCTTTTGAATTGGTTTCTTTGATTTTCATCATGTTTTTGAGGCTCATTCGTGTTAAAGCTTGAATCAGTATTTTATTCCTGGTTTTGGCCGAGTAATATTCCATTCCATAACATTCCATATATCACATATGATAGTTTACATTCATCAATTGATGGACATTTGGGTTGTATCCAGTGTTGGGGCTGCTATGAGTAATGCTGCTATGAACATTCATGTTACAATCTTTCCTTATGTCATGTCTGAATCTACTCTTTATCTCATTCTGTGTATTTTTCGTCTTAGACATTTGAGTTTTCAATCTCTAGAATTTTTATTTAGGTCTTTTTTTTTTCTTTAAATCTGCTTTATTTCTACTTGACATATTCAATCATTCCACTAGCTTCTTGAACATATGGAATGTAGTCACAAATAACTGTTAATCATCTGCGTCATTTCTTGTGGGCTTCACTTGATTGCATTTCTCCTCCTTATGGGTTATGTATCCCTGCTTACTTCCGTGCCTGAGAATTTTTTTTTGGATTCCAGACATTGTAAATTTTTCCTTGTTGGGTGGTGGATTTTTTTTTTAATTCCTATGAATATTCTTAAGCTTTATTCTTAAACAAAAGTATGTTCCTTGCAGAGAGTTTAGTTATTTTGGGTCTTGCTTATTGGCTTTGTTAGGCAGGTCCCAACTAATGATGAGCCCAGAGCCAATTTTACCATATTACCAAGCCAAGACCCTTCTGGGTATACTCTCCATTGCCCCCTGAATTTTGAGGTTTTCTACTTTGGCTGACGGGAACAAGAACGAATTCTGAGCCTCTGTGAGCACTCAGGAATTGTTCCCTGAATTTGGGGAATTCTTTCCCGGGCCTTGGATACTCTCTTCC